TGCAGCCTGGGCCCAACAAGCAACTGGACTGCGCAAGACAAAAAAAATCAAAACCGAAAATCAGTTAACGAAAGGGCACGGTGAGCAAGGCCATTATACTTTCCGCTAGTTTAACATTCGTCTTAACGTGTTCACCATCCTCTTATCTCGTCTGAAAGACTGTGTCCCTTGCCATAACTCGGATACCCATCTTATGTGTCAGCTTAATTCATTTTCTCCCCGCCAGTCGCGGATTCCAGGAAATGGTACCGCATGGTTGCGGGACACCCCATTCATGCACCTGGGATATCTGGCTGGCTAGTCCAGTAGCGGTGTGATTATGTGGCCGCAGGAGCACAGTCGGCGAAGTGGAAATGAGCGCAAGCGTCCAGTGTGCGGGTTAGGCCCAGCGTGAAAAGCGCTGCATAGCATTCGCTTCTTCGGCATATTTCAGGTTTTTTGCGCCAACTGGACGTTCGTTAACGTGAATACCTATCCAAAAGCCATGAAAGTGTAAAGATAGTAATGGTAACTGAAGCCGTTAATGTCGGAACAGGTCCATGAACAAGTGAACGCCTTTTGAAATTCAGCACGTCAGGCCGCAAAAGTTGCGCCGCCCTCCCGGAGAGTCATTATCAGGACCAAGGCTGTTGTCACCCAATCATGGGGTTTGGCCTAGGGTTAAGGCATAAATTACCTGAAGAATGCCGGTTCAGCACGACCAAAAAAAGGTGGACTTAACCTCGCCTATGGGGCAGGAGCATTGCGCAGTTGTTGACCAGCACCATCGCTTTTGCCTCAAATTAGCTGCCTGCTTTACTCCGTCACCGGTTTCAGCTTCAGAGCGTGTCTCCCGAATTGACTACATATGACTGGAAGTCCCAAAAATTGACTGTTGCTTGAGAGTTTGGACAGGCCACAATTTCGCTAGAAGCGTAGCATTGTGCCGGGGATAAAATGACAATGGTTTTAGCGGTTGACCATGCACATGCTGATGTAAATTATGGTATGAAAGGGAAAGTATTTGAATCTGACACAAGAGACGGCAAACAATATACAGGGTCAATGCAAGGGGACGCCCTTGTGGTCGCTGCCACGAAAACCCTTATTGCGGATCTGAAAGTGCCGCACGATACAATGCCAGCCTTCGTTATGATTTCTTGGAACGGAAAGCCCCGCGCGTTGGAACTTTTTGCAGGCGGAGAGGCAGCTGAATGTGTGAACTGGTCAAAAGGAGATTCAATATTTAGACCGGCCGAAAAAAAGGGGTGTCATGAGACATTCATGGAGCGCAGTTCTTTTGATCTGTGGCGCTTTCCGCGTCGGGTGGTTCAGCAACCTTCGATCCGCACGCATTTCTGGGTTGCCTAGTTGTGCCTGGGAACCAAGCCCTTTTCCATCCGCCGACAAAAAATGATTTAAAAACGTGGTCTAAATGGAAGACGCAGTAGTTGATCTGAATCCGTTTTCGCGCTAGGTCCGAGCAGACCAATGGTTGTTGGTCCAATTTGAACCACCTCAGTTTTCGCATAACACGAACGGTGGAGGTGCCTAGCGTTGAACGGTGTGGTCAACCTGAAAAAAAACCCACTTCCGAGCAATGAATGTACCGCGCAGTTTCCCGCTAATTATGCGCGGTGCTATACCAATCCCCGTGTGGCGTAATGGGTAGAAGGTGTTAACTGGTCAATGGCGACAACATGGGCGGTTACGAGTCGCAAAAAATGTATTCTACCCGTTCAACCCTTATGGACTGCGCTCAGTCCTCGACCTCCGCCGTCGAAGGTTTTCGCTCCAGTCAGGCAATCGCCGTGTCTTTTGAAGGAACTCTGGATGTGACTCGATTGACGCACACTTTCTTCTGAGCGACGAACCCGAAAAGGGAGGATCCCTCATCGAATCGCCCCCGCTTGACTGGAGTGCGCAGTTGTTAACAAATAAATGCACAGTAGGTTACAAGCAGCCCCAGTTCTCCGGAGCGTAAATGTTGCTGTGTGAGAGAAAGGTAGGATTAGATTATGGGGCAAAAAAAAACGTTTAGTTTCATGGGAGCGCTATGGGCTGCATAGTACGGTAGTCAAGCTGCGCCGCAATTCCGTTGAACGGCATTTGTGTCTTCCGAGCGGTCCGTTGATATGCAACGCACCGCAGGTAACAGGTTGACATGCGAAACACGGACTGGGACAGAACTGACGGCTGAAAAAAAGGAATCGGTCACAAAAAATGAAGACCTCTCGCCTACAGTTACGAGCGCTGGACAACGCGTTCGCACTTGGAATTCACTTTCCCAGTTCCAAGGACGAAATGCGCTGAAGGTTTGATCTCTTCCCTACGCTCCGTTCCTGGACAGCAACAAACGGCATCAAAAGCTTTACTGGAGAGGGTTCACGTGAATACGGAAAAAGAGAGGACTGTCACCAATGTACAAGAAGGTCACCAGTGGTCAAGTAGAATGCGCAGTGGTTGACCAGTGTAATGTTTCGAGCGGGGTTTTGCAATCATTTACCCTCGCAAACTCCGGGTCATGGGACACGAAGGTAAGGAAACTAAAAATGTAACCTAGCTCTGGGGGATGCAAACCCGAACAAGTTCAACGTCTTGTTTTGTTCACAACGGGCCCGGTAGAATGCGCACACAGTGATTCGTTTGCTCCCCTCTCTAAAACGTTGTTTTACGACAACAACCGGTAACCCGGAAAGCCGAGTTAAAGGTTGCAAAAAGCATTCACCAGCGTTTCCTACCGCCTGCGCGGTATCTAACACATACCGGAAATTTGATCATCCCCAACGCGACTGTCTACTACTCATTGATGAGGCCGCTGGCGCCGTTCTGCCCTTCGGCTCTTCAGAAAGAGGGCGCAAAATAATCTGTTCTCTCTGCGATCGCATAACGGGTCAGTACCTATTCGTGTCGCTAACCGTTCTGCAACTCGTTCCACCCATCTTTCCCACTGGGTATCCCGGAAACCTTCGATTGACCACGTTGGCAACTTGCCTATCCAACCTTCCCGAATTCACCTGGGTATTATTTCATCCCGTTTTGCGCTGAACAATGGTGGCGACGACGGACCCCAAAAAATATCTCGCCGCATTACAGGCAGTAGAATTGCGCAGTCGTTAGATCTGCTGTTTTCCGGGTAGGATTGGCAGCCCTTAATCCAGCAAGTGATACATATCCTGGAAAGGGAGAAGCACTTGAAAATACACATATGGCCGTGGAAAAAAGGAAAAAAGGTCCTTCATTGGAAATGGAAACCCATGTGTTGCGGTCTTGACCACTCAGCGTGGTACACCTCCGTCAACGCGTATTTCCGAGCATCACTGGACAGTTATATTCGTCAAATTTCCACCCACCCAAAGACGAAATGTGGACCACAAAAAAAATTCATCCAGTATCGAATACCTGGTACAATGCGCCGGGGTCCTGCCGTGGCCCCTGCGCAAGTCGCCTTCAATTTGGCATTAGTCGCAAAGCGGCCGCATTCATTGAATGTTGCGCGCTACTATCAGTCCACTTTCGTTCACAGAAAAAGTCAGTCAGCGTACACCAGAACCACATAATCGAACGCCTGTTGTATGACCAAACGCCTGGTTGTTGATCTCCAGCTTTCCTGCATCACTTGTGCGGCGCCTTAACCTATCCTCGGCTTTCAGAACGGATTTTGGGAGTGCACCGTTGACGGATAGGGTGGTAGTGAAACGAGCAGTGGTTACAGTTGAAAAAAAAATATGTGTGGCCTTCACGAATTGCGCAGAAGATGCCCTGCGTACTTTCACGGCCATTCACCACGCGGAACGATATGCGTCCAGCCAGCGGTCCCCTCACATGGATAGTGAGTTAGCAATGGAAATGCTAAACGGGACCCGGGAAAAAACAGACGGTCGCAAAAAAGGGGCGTCAGGGGCTCAGCGCATACGTACAGGTGCAACCAGTTGGGTGGACCTGCGCGCAGTTTCTAACTCTGTTTGTTTTAATGGGCGCGAGGAGTCGAAAGCTAACCTCGGAAAACTTTTGGGGTACGCTAATTAAATGAAACGCTTTCGACCCGCCTAGAAGGGTGCAATACTTGACCACGTGTCGTGTTGTGGGCGGGGGTTTCCTCCCGTCTCCCTCCCCATGGGTTTTTATGGCATCAAGAGTCAATTAACTCGCGAACGTTTCCGTTCACACAGGCCTCGAAATTAAGGTAACGTGCGACACCGTCCTCCAGCGTAATGCGCGCAGATTGTTGTCCCCACCCCGCCTTCCGGGTGGGTTTGGGGCGGGTTCCTCCAGCCAGCAGACATGGTGCTTAAAGCACTATTACGGTATAGAAACTGCACGCCGCAACATTCGGCCACGCGCCAACCGGGAAAACGGAGCGTATGAAACTCAACAGAGTGCGTAATCATGTACCCGCTCTCCCATCCAGGCGGTTACCTTCCTTTTTTTGCCTGCCTCAGGCAGGCTGTCACAATACTATGCGTCACTTCACAGGTGTTCAATGTGACGGGGAGGTCGAAGCTGCCGTCGGAGTGTGGGGGAGTGGGTTGGAGAGCGCCCGTAGTTCACCTAAATTGTGTATGGCTGCGCGGCAAGTCAAACGCCCAGCAACAGCCGTCCTCCGTCATGTGGAAGGTCAACAGGGCGACTGCGCACGCTCCCGAAACGTGCCCACCTCTTGGAGTGTCGATGAATGAAACGGACAATATGCCACCCCACCCCATTGGCCGCGATCAGAATGGGGAACAGTTCCACCTTTCGTGAGAGACCAGGCCGGCCTTCACGGCAATCACAATGCGCAGTTATTGGCCGGCACCCGTGTTTTCGCGGAGTTTTGCCGCGCATTTTTCAGTGCCATCCGGAATGCACCTCTGAATTTAAGGAGGTTAGCGCTGACAGTAGGCAAGCGCGGAGATGAAGTTTCTGCAAAATACGACACATTCCCAAACACCGCTTTGGTCTTGAACTTGCACTCTTCTTTTGGGATGGCGACCGGAGCCAAAAGGAAACATCCAAGAGAGTCCAAGCTATTCTGATAGTGCATGGTCCGGGAATCGAACCCGGGTCTGCCGCGAACTGCTTTTTGATGGCAGGCGGCAATTCTGCCACTGGACCAACCATGCGATGAATTTCCTGTTGGTTACGGTCAATAAAGAGCTAGTCCAGTCCCTGTGTGATCCTCGGATGTCAGTGGCTGAGGTCGTGGAACACAGGGAACACAGAAAAACCTGCGGATTGCCTGCGGCCGGGACCGGAGACTCGGGAGGTTCGCTTGCAGAACGGGGCGGGAAACATAAAAAAGGACACCCTCAACTCCGTTTCCCATCTTCGCAAAACCTAATTAGCATCTTACCATCTAGATATTTTAGAAGAAATAACCACCAAACCCCCTATTAATTGCAAAACACCATGCGCTCCTTCACCGCTACCCTCCTCGCCCTCCTCGCGCTCTCCTCCTCCACTTTCGCACAGAGCGTAAGAAAAGAACACTTCACCTTTCTACTCACGCCGTCCCATTCCCCCTCACCTGTTTCTTTCCTTTAGTGCACCGACGCCCAAGCGCAATCCCTTTTAACCCGCTTCACCAACCTCATCCAGGCGTGTGGCAACGATGTCAAGTGTCTGTGCGGAGAGCCGGTGAATTTGATCAAGCAGAACCAGGCGTGTTTTACGCAGAATGGGGCGGCTGAGCAGGCGTGAGTGTCGTGTGTGTTTTTTGGTTTGGTGGGAGATTGTTCGTTGCGCGCGTAAAAAGTTCGTGTTCGAAGACGCGCAGGCGGGATGCCGTGAGAAAGACTGTGTGGGGTTCGAAGGAGCCGTGGGTTCGCGGGAGCAAATAATTTGTTGAGAGGATTCATACGCGGCAGCACCCAAAATGCATGCCAGATATTGGGAGGGTCAACGAAGCGCAATGCTACATATCGACCAATTCAAGCCGGAATTTCACCTCGCACATCACAATCTAACCTCTCCTCCTACACAGCAACAACTTCATCACCCTCTGCAACGAAAACACCGGCAGCGGCACCAGCACGCTCCCGACCGGCAGTGGTACCGGAAGTGGTAGCCCGGGCAACCTCCCCGCCGCCACCGGCATCCCCGTAGGCGGCAGCTCCGGCACTCTCCCAGCCGCCACCGGCATTCCCACCGGCACATCCACAAACGCCCCCGCAAACCCATTCGGCGCAAAAAACGTGGGAAACAAGGTGGAAACCGTCGTGTGGGCGGGTGTCGTCGCAGCGGCGGGTGCGGCTGCTGTTGCGTTGATTTGAGGGACCGGGTTTTCTCGATCTTTTCATAGTTTTGGTTTCGTCTGTCCTACCTATTACACGGGACTGTACGTCTTTTTAGATTCGCATTGGGTTAGTGCATTGGGTTAGCGCATGGGAGTGATGGATGTAATGGAACGTAGTTTTGTATGGAGCTACTCGAAAGAAAAATATACATATATATTTGGAGACGGTGAAATATCAAATGGGCTCAACGTTGCGTGGGGGGTGTTGAGATCCGACGTGTTTGTCTCTGGAGATGAAGTCATGGATTTGATTTTCGAGGATACGTACGTTCCCCCGGTTTGTGGAGGTTGGGCTGGTCGATTTTTACACTTACATCTCCCGCATCGGCACCATCCATGGTGGTGGATGCTCCTCCCTGGGTGTCCTCGCGGCAGGTGCGGCTGCTGTTGCGCTCATCTGACGGGACGGTGTTTTCATAGTTTTTGTTTCGTCTGTCCTACTTATTACATGGCACTTAGATTTGCATTTGGTTAGCGCATGAGGAGTGATGGATGTAATGGAACGTTGTTTTGTATGGAGAGATACTGGAAGAAAAAATAAACTTTTTGGAGACGGTGAAATATTGAATGGTCCTAGCTCTTTCGTGTACGCACAACGTACCTTTGTCGAACGGGAAGGCTGTTGTCCTTACATATGTGCATTCAAAGTTGTGTACGTACCCGGAAACTTGAAAACTCAAAGCCGCGTACTCACCCACAAAACAGGGAACGAAAACCAGGGATCGATGAGCCGGGATATTGGAGCGGCTCAAAACTGTATTTCGAATGTCATCTACCACTCATACCCGACAACCTAGTGAGACTAGCAACGTCCAATCAGCGTTCCACCCCAGACGTTGCAACGACCTTATCAGTCCTGTATCAGTCCGTGCTGGTCTTCCGGCCTGGGTATCCAGATCCTGCCTGAAATTGGAAACGGGTTATCAAGCGTTTTCGACCTCTGAGAATGCAACCACCCCACTCGATCAATCCCACAATCAATGCATTGATCGTCTCAGGAGTAACCTCTCCCCTCCTCTGTGCTTACCCGCACCAGACGAAAAGGAAAAGCAGCCAGTGAATGGATATCACGGACGCGATAACTCTGCAATGGAATTCTCAGCCTTCAAACCACCCCCACTCCCTGCACCAGGCGCAAAACGCAAAAAAACCGTCCAAGTCGCCAGGCTGTAAAAATATACAAAATAGAATCTACACGGCAGCTGCCTAGCCCCAACATCGCAAGTCCGCTTGGAAAAATAACCAAAAAGGAACCATTATGGTAGTCAGTTCTACCGCCAGTGCATGGTCCGGGAATCGAACCCGGGTCTGCCGCGAACTGCGTTTGGCAGGCGGCAATTCTGCCACTGGACCAAC